CGGCTTTTCAAGCACCATCAGTGTACCGGAGCTCAGTGATAGGTGTTGTTCTCACTTTTGTCTTGCCTTCAAGACGTCGAAGGTTGAAAACTCATTCTAGATTGAAGACTCATTTATCTAAAACTGCGTTTTGTGTTTAGTTTGTTGTCCCTCCCGCGCACCTCCGATTACTACCATTGGCTATGTACGGTGCGAAAGAAGTTCAACCTACACACACACACATTCACGCTACCCACGCCACGTGCAATGCTGGTGGAGGCAATGGGTAACGGGGAGCAGCTAGAGAAGAGTACCACTGCCGCAGGACGCTTCCCTGCCTCGCCCCGGTTCTAATAGGGAAGGCCAGATAAATAAAATAAGTTAAAATACTTTGGTGGTGGCCTTAATACTTTTAATACAAAAAAAAACAGGAAGAAGTTTGTACCTCTGCTTAAAACTGGTCCTCAAACTTTTTGATTTATGAGGAGGGAAAATCGACGTGACGTTCCCGCCAGCTGACTTTATATATTACAGGAAATTCTCCTGAATGAGGTCAGTCCCCAAAGCAGTCATTAATATTTGTGTCCGATTGCTTTCTCTGCGTATATACAAAGTAACTTCAAAGTCAAATTGTCTTCTTGTTCGAGTAGTCTGTGGCTTTGTGCCCATCTTCCTTGCTGGCCCTTTCACCAGAGTTGGAAACTCCACATTACCATGGAATACACCATTCTCCAAAACGATCACCCTTATTTTTACATGGCAGCCTTTTGTAATTCCATTGCTGTATGATAGAATTCCCATTGCTTTGTGGGTCGTGGGGGTTATTGTTCACCACACTTCAGGCCAGTCAGTATAGTTTGGTAAAGACGATTTAGTCCTGGCCACTCCATAGTTCCACAACGGGGGTGGAGTGGTGGCGCAGTGGTCACACGTGCTTCAAAGCAAGAAGTATCTGGGTTCAATTCCCGACTGGGGTGCCTTTCTGTGCAGTTTGTATGTTCTCCCCCTGCTCTGTACGTATTTCATCTGGATTCTCCAGTTTCCTCCCAATTTATGCAATAAAAACATAAATTGTACTTGGTGTTGGTCAACCATCCCAATGTAGCAGGATCATCATGGAAAAATAGTCTTCAGACGCAGTGTGGCCCTTCTGGCTAATTAATAATAATTAAAGTGGTACGGATTTTATCAGTCGCAGTGTCTGGGACTGATAAGCTCATGAGCTCATGAGCTAAACACACAACGTTGAACACAACGTTCACAGGATACACACAAAGCTAAACACACAACGCTAAACACAACGTACAAGGCTACACACAACGCTAAACACAACGTACACAGGCTACACACAACGCTAAACACAACAATAAACACAACACTACACACAACACTCCTTGATCAGACCCGACGCACCGTCCAGAGAGGATGGATTTAAACGAAGGTCACGGTGTGTAATAGCTCCATAGCGTGATTTGCGCATTTGAAATGTACCAACTGAAGACATCGTTTAAAATAATAATTAAATTCTGTCGGAGGAAGGGGGGTGCTGAGGGGTGGTGGAGGGAGATGGTGATGCGGGAGAGCGAGGGGGGTTTGGAGGGGTGGTTGGCGCTTAGGGCCACTCAAGGACACAGCAGCAGAGTCTACAGCCCGTGCGTGCACATCACAATCTTAGCATCAGCTGCTCCGTTGCATAACATAACCCCCTTCGCTTTTTTACTGACACCCTCGATAGCATTCGAAGTGCGCGCCGCATCAGCAGGGACACCTCCGATGTGCACGGTTGGCTACGTGCGGTGCGAAAGAAGTTCAACGCACAGTGCAAAACGATGCCCAACAGCTTAGAATACTGTCCTCGTTTTACAGTTGGTACTGTAACAGGAATGACTTTACATTGAAACAGAACAGAATGAAAAAAAACACCAGGCATCAGAAAGACTCAAGGTTAATGAGTTTAGGAAATGTTATTTTTTGTTTCCCCTTAGCAGTACCACTCATCGTGACTCTGCACCGAGCCTCTGTGCCCTGGTGATACCAAACAACCCCTTGAGAGTCCGTCTCGCAGTGCCATTGCGTTTTGGGTGCCCAGATCAAGAATAAAACTCCCGGTGGCTCAGGGTAGCGGTGGCCGAGCGGCAAGGTCTGGGAATGGTGGCAGATGCCTGCAATGCAGCCTGCTGCGGCGGGGTTGGTGGATCACACGGAGATGCATCCGTGATGCGCTTGAGGCCCAACCCATAGAATGCCTGCAGGATAGGGCTGCAATCATTCATCTATTCACATCGAGGTTTTTTTTTTTGCTCACAATAAATGCATGCGAACATCCGTGCAGTAATTAAATATTTTACAAGTTCATGCCCGCTGTATGCAATTTGTTATTTGAGTGGAATTTGAGTTGTTCTCCTCCCCCCCCCAATCTTCTATGCACAAAAGTAATAATTGTCCCAAACCAGAAATATTCTGATAATTAGTATTGAGACTCAAGGGACGGCTTCCCGACACACCCAAAGTATAAACAACATTCAACAAAACCCAATGCCACGTGTCCGAAAGAAAGGGGTGGGGCCTAAAGAGAAAGGGGGAGGGGCCTGAAGAAGAAGATGGGGCAGGTCCTAAAAAGGAAAGGCGCAGGGAGGTCCAAAGAGAGACGCGGTGGGGGGGGGGGCATTTTTTCCCCCCCACAGCTTAAAGGACGCGACCTGGGCTTGCTGTCTTCACTCCAACGCTGTCCTCTGGACAGTTTGGTCCCTTCACCTGATGAAGGCCACTTGTGTTGTGGCCGAAACGTCGTGATTTTTGTTGTTTTATTTTTAACCAACGTGACTTTACCAAATAGAACCAAAGAGTATGGATCCTTGCAGTCACGAAAGCTTCAAATCTAGAAGGGGTGGGGTATGAGGACTTAGGGGTGGAGCATAAATATAAAGGGGCGGGGCTCGACATGAGGTATGAAACGCATAAAATAAAACACATGCAGCAGGCAGCATTCGTTTAGATGCGGCCACACGCCAACGTTCGCCTCTTGATTGGCAGGTTGTTGCTGGTGGAGACTGGTGTGGCAGGTGGGGCGTTGTCATTTCTGTTAAATCCGTGCTGATAAATAGTCTCATTTTGTATTACGTGCGTAACTCGGAGACTGTAATTTTAACGCAGCGTGAAAGGAGCGATGCATGGCTGCATGAATTAAAAAGTGGACTCATAAAGCACGTGGATCAGTGTCAGGCTGCTCAGAGATATTGAGGCGTGGGGTAATGTATCAGCATAAAGTAATACATAAGCAAATAATAATAATAATACTGCTCACCTTTAGATTTAAACCACCTCAAAGCGAAAGCGGTGTTTATTATTACAAATTTTCGTCAGCTGTCGACTCAAAAGAATCACACCTTGGTTTGATAAAGTTAGTGAACCGCTTTGTTGTAGGTCAGCGCCGATAGTTCTAATTGTTCTAGGGATATTCATGTCAAATTAACACCACTGTTCAACGGCAGCCGTAGGCGATGACCATTCCCTCATTACTCGTTTTTACAGGCAGACGCTTTTGGGTTGACTTGACCTGCCCTTTATTTAACTGGTTGCAGGCCCAAGGTGGTTGTCTATCTTGCAAAGATAACGACACGAGGCAGGAGTTGTGATTTGGGGCAGCAAACCCATCAACCGTTTACCACAAGCATTCTTGTACAGGGAGATTGAGTTTTCAGGTCCATACGGCGTAAAGCCGTTTCAATACGGGCAAAACAATGTTGTCTATTTGTTTGTGTTTCTCCCTTGTGATGGGGCTTTGTAGGATGAACGTTGAGATTTATAAGGGCACGGGGTGACCAATAAGGTCTGAATCGGTCTGTAACAAGATAGGGCACTGATAAGGGGTTGACAGGTACAGGGCAGTGCCATTGCTGCATACCACGGCAGACTCTTACGCATGATGCTGACTGTTATTTGAGAGTTTTCAGATGTCGTCCTCTGGCCATTGCTCACAGACATCACTGAGCAGATTTGAGAATCGAGCCATCAACTCCACGCTACGAGCTTCAATGGTGACCCCACTGATAACTGCAGCAGTGATTCTCATCCTGCGATCCACAGGCATCGTTAAAGGTTAATGGGTGCTCAGCAGGTTCTGAAAGTTGCAAACAGTCTGCATTAGACATGTAAGTATAAGCCCCTTACGAATCGACAATAATTCACACCTCACCAATTTCATAAATTGTCACAACTTTTGGTCGAGATTCGATTCAAAGGTCAAACCTTTTTGGCTATTGTTTTTTCATGTGATCTCAATTGCATTGTTTGTAAACTCCATTGATCCTATTCGTACAACAATGTTTTTCACTTCATTAGCACACACATAAAAAAAAAAAACGTAATGCCCAATGCTGGTGAAATACAAAATAAAAATATTCGCCTGTCTCCTCCTGTCATCGGGTGGTTCATCGCAAATCTGCTGATGTCAAGGTAAATGAAAGCCAATTATAGCCGGAACCGATGGGGTCTGTGGTGGGCGAAGAAACGAGGCAATTCCGAGCCTACACTCCTTATCGCCTGCCTAATTAGCCTAGCAAATAATGTTGTTATTATTACGTCGGCCGTGATATAATTAGCGGAACCTTAATGTCAAAAAAAATTGCTCTCCATTTGATTCACTGCGAAACGCGCTGTAATGAATAGTAGCGACCTCGTGGAGCATGGCGATCCTAGGGAATCGGGGTACACGGCGAGTTGCGAGGCCCAAACTCCCACGCTTCTACCGCACACATTCGGGCCTGGGAATGGGCCAGGCTCATTGGTATGCTAAAACTGGATTCCAGGCGTTATGCGTTGTATCATTTAGCACTGGACTCGGACCCCACATGTTAACGGGAGCGTCCTTGGTCTATTACGTCTTGCAGTTTGCTCGCGTCGACTGTGCTGATGAGACGCTGCATGTCGAGACTGGTCCAGAGTTACCTTGTACTGAGTCAATACTGCTGGAACTATGGCTCAGACGGGCGGGTGGGTGGGCCTCATGGGTCGAGTAAAACACGTGTTTTTGTTGACGTGGAGAGACAGGTACATGGAGACACATAGTCTGCTTGCCTAGTTTGGTTTCCAAGTGGTAAGGGTTGTAAAAGGGTGACATTACTCACAGGGTCAAATCCCTGTCAGGTAAGCCTCAGCCTATCACCCCCCTGGACTTTATAATACGAGTGTTATTTTGTGTGAAGTCATCAGTGACCGACCTATTACGAAGAGACTGACTCAGAGAAACTAATTAGAAAAGTGCCGCCACTTTTATTGCTCGTTTGAGCAGAGAACAGGACAGCTAGACTGAGTCTCACGACTCTTTCTGGAGGGTCCTGCATTAGATTGTTTCACACATTCACACATTCTCAAACGAGGGTATTATGTGGGGGAAGAAAAGCCCACGCATACATACGAACATCCAGAGAGGATGGATTTAAACATCCACACAGAAAGATCAGCAACCCCCTTCCGGCACTACCACCTGGAGGCCACACCGTAGGCCGGCAGATATCTGCATGCTGTACCACGCCTGGCTCCCCCATTGCTGGATTATATATATGTATTGCATGTATGTTGAACTTCTGTCGCACCGTACGTAGCCAACCGTGCTCATTGGAGGTGAGTTTGCCACTGCATCCAGCTTTAAAGTTTGAGTGCGTTTCACAAGAACCGCCTATGACGAAATAATTCCAACATTTATAATATCTTTCTAAGAAGCTAAGCATTAAAAAAATAACATACAAGAAAATGCTCACATTTTGAAATGTATATAAATTCAATGTTTCTTTAAATATTCGTGTTACACTCATTTTATGTGCTCAAAAATGGGCTTTAAAAAATCCGGACAGTAAACGGAGAAACACACACTTGCTCCATGATAGCATGTGTGATGTGATGATGATATGATGATAGGCAGTTAGTGCATAATTTGAATAGCATAAGGGATGAGGATTACTGTTTAAGACAAAGGTAACATTGGAGTTTCATGTTCAATCCCTGATCAGACGTTTTAAACGCTCATCTAATATCTGGGGGGGTCATGAAATTAGTCATATCACTTTATGAATGGTACCGGTTTCTGTTATGGGAATGCCGAATTTCCACTGCTGTGAATGGAGACACTCTGAGCACACCACTGGTATGTACTGCACGTTCTACGAGCTACCAGAGGGTGTTAGGATATTAGCATTCACGCAGTATGGAAAGCATTCGAAATCGCACATCTATAAAATAAGGCGAAACACTGCAAATGTCCGTGCAACCTTTAAAAGATTGCATTGATATTTGCGTAATTTATTTATGTGCTTATTTACGACGTGAGGACATCATGATTGCTTTTAACAAAATCTATGTTCTATTTACAGCTTGGATTTTCTCCCCCTCTCCCCCCCATCAGCGCGGCCGCCTTGCAGCTCCGATAGAATTGTCTCGCCGTGTTCCCACATCTCATTTCCAGCCGGGAGCTGGGCCCAGACTCGCTCCCCCATGCAGAGAGCCCTTGCAACCCTCCCCCCCTCGCTCAACCCCCACTGCCCTCCTCCCACAGCCACCCAGTTGCGATGGGCGTCTCGTCTACGTCAAGGCAGAGATGATGCTGGTACGTTACGGCTCTATCACAATCGTGTGGTTGGCAGTTTTACAGATTGAAGTCGTGTGTGTGTTTTTTTAAAATCTCTTTCTCTCTCTCAAGTCGCACACCGCTATGGTGCCACAGCCAGATCGTGCACCGGGGGAACAACTTGGCAATGCCATCACAGGTCTGACGTCCTCTCAGGGTATACATCTTGCTCTTTAGAACGTTGCCCTTGAGAGCAGTGAATAGAGTGGCAAGGGTTGGGCCCGCTCGGGTTGTGTCCTTTGCTCTGGCAGTGCCGACCAACGCAGCTACGGATGGGCCGAGCTCTTGTGAGTACGCGGGCACTTTGAGACGACGACTTTTCAAGATCCCTCGGGTGGACTGAACTGTGACCATGAAACGCATCGCACGTGAGCGCAGGTGGGAGCCAACGATTCAAGCGCAGGATCTCGGTCAGGCTCAGCATGATGACGCAGCATCGCATTAGACCCTTGAAAATGTCAAACCGCGAAGTTGAGAGACGAGGAACCCCTATGTTTATTTTTGACGAGCGGCCTCCCTCTAGGAGAATCGCGGACAAATTAAGAGGATGCACAAACGACAACGATGAGGCAATCGCTTCGCGATTTTGGACCGGGGGGTTGCCAGGGCGCGTGGTGGGATGGGTGGTGGGGGCAGTGGACGTGGAAGTTCGTGGAGCGTTGATGAAGCACGAGGGAAGGTCGGAGTGGACGGGGAAAGGATGCGTACGTAGCGTCTGTCTCTGTGCACGGTGCGCGCAGATTGAGTTCAGTGCGAGTTGGCTCATCAGCACAGTTGGCGATCGATGGAGGCCGCTTTAAATCGCACGCGCGGCGTGCCGGTCGATAGAGTCCTCGGTTCCCCACACTCACAAGGAATAATAATTACTCCCATAACGTGGACACATATAGAGAGTAATAGTAAATACATATGACAGTGGTTACAGTCATTGCAGGATAATCATAAGGATAATACGTTACCTTCAAGAGAGTAGGTGATACTTGAAAAATAATTACAAGAGCTTTGGGTTTATCATTGTTGCTGAGCGCAGGCTGAAGGCGTCAAAATGCCAAGCGGTCAGCAACAATCGGCACTACACTGCACATTTAATGGTGAAAATCTATCCATTTCCCTTTGACTATGTGAGAGCCTCTTGATAGTCTCTGCCACGTTTATTGGGTGAGCAGAGCTGCATATGGGAATATGTCTCTGTGTGTGTGCATACGATGGATTTGAGGGCCGGGGGTGTGGGCTGACGGCCGCCTGCTGCTGCCGCCGCCGCCTGACTGTGCACGCGCGACCAATGCAGAGGGGAGGGTGGAGGGGGGGCGTGGATCGGCCACTGAACGGCACGGAGTCACTGCTGCTGGTGTTATGGCTCAGACGGGGCGGGTGGGTGGGCCTCATGGGTCGGGTAAAACACGTGTTTTTGTTGACGTGGAGAGACAGGTACATGGAGACAAATAGTCTGTTTGTCTTGTTTGGTTTCCAAGTGGTAAGGGTTGTAAAAGGGTGACATTACTCACAGGGTCAAATCCCTGTCAGGTAAGCCTCAGCCTGTCACCCTCCTGGACTTTATAATTGAGTGTTATTTTGTGGGAAGTCATCAGTGACCGACCTATTAAGAAGAGACTGACTCAGGGAAACTATTTAGAAAAGTACCGCCGCTTTGATTGCTCGTTTGAGCAGAGAGCAGGACAGCTAGACTCTTTGGGGTGATGTCGCTTGACCCACGGTAGATCTAATTCGGTGGTGTCATGAGCGGCATCATATCGACCTTTCGCTTTAATTTTGCTCCATTTGGGCAGTGTTTTTGACGAATGTGGTGTTTGTTTTTTTGTTATCCGACAGAAGCGTGGCCTTAAGACCCAGATTAGACATTCACACGTCTCTTAATGCACAAGCACGGGCATACAACACTCAGCATCATCGTCCTGATTCTCCGTGCCTCTGTCGATCATACTCAACCCACGTAGGTAGAAAAATAATAGCTCAAGACGTTTCGATCGCAACGCAAGCAATCGTCATCAGGTGGGACAACCACATCAGTTTTTTTCTTGCTGTGGTTGTCCCACTTGATGACGATTGCTTGTGTTGCGATCGAAACGTCTTGAGCTATTATTTTTCTACCTACGTGACTTTACCGAAAGAACCAAAGAGTATGGATTCCTGCAGTCACGAAAGCCTCACATCAAGATTCATACCCAGCCCCCAGTGCGGGCAGTCATGCGCCGGCAGATACTCACGCGCGCACGTCTTGCACGGCCGTCTCTCGGAGTCACTGTTCCTCGATCGAGTCGGGTTTGCTAAAAGCATTCGCCGCCTTAATCAGTTAAACGACCGAAATTTACCCCCGCTCACGCCCGTCGAGTCTAGACACGACACAATGGTGTCTGGACAATGCTGAGTCTGCACAATGATGTCTGTGCAGTATAGGCTCTTTCTCCAATTATATGATAGAAAATAATCTCATTACTCCCAATGCCCAACAGAGTACATTGAGATCTCTGAGCCGTCATCAGTCGCCGCCACTTAGAACTAATCGCTGCCATCGGAGAGCGATGGTTGACGGCGATTTGACGGCGATCAAGCGCGCAGATGTTTGGTGACACAAGGATTGCTCGCGTTACATTTTCACCATCGTCATCACCAACTCCTGAACGCTCCCGTTCGGGATCGATACAAATCGAACAGGGCAGAGGTGGCCCAAATGGCCTCGGGGCTTTTCCCCATGACATAGCACCGCTTGCCCTGCAACACCACCACCAGGGGGCCGGAGGCGAGGGAAGACCGAACCGGAAAGAATTTGAGAAGACCTTATCGCGGAACAAATGCACTCTGAGCGATGAACGTGAAGAACTCATTACGCGTTAATGGCGCACCCCAAACTGTTCGTGAATTTAAGAGCTTGGGGCAGGACACGTGGCTGGCGAGGATAGAGAGTCGATGGTCAAGAGGAACGATGCAGTGGGATCCAAGGAATGGGACGCGTCCAAAAGGACGTCCACCAATAAAGCGGCACGATGACATGAGCTCGTGTGCGGGTATCAGATAGATCATTACATCGCAGAAGCTTGGGGAGGCCTTCATCCAGCTGCGATTTGAGCATGGCTGTTGATGATGATGATGATGATCATGATGCATTTTTCCCATTGGAGGAAATTGCAGTAAAGGTGATGGCTGGAGGTACTGTGCAGCTTACTGGTGGTGTAACTATTTAGACTTGTTTGTAGGTGAGCATTACATTGTTGTTTGGCTTGATGTCCGACGTTTCGTACTTGGAGCTTCTTAATCTGAAAATAGTTTAAACTTCCGTTCCCGGCAGTAGCGATTGTGAACAGCAACTGGCCATATGAATGTAACATTTTCACCACTTTCTCAGGCCTCTCAAAGGAGGCGACCACCACCGCCATGGTTGACCTGTTAATCCGACTTCTCAAACGCTTTACAATATCGACATATAACCGCTCGAACACACACCCACACACTGGCCTGTTGAGATTCCTCCATACAGAAAGGAAGCCTGGGCACTTAAATCAAGTAGGAGCCATGGGCCGTGACACCCACAATCTTAGCAGCGTTGGCTCGGCACTCCGACACAGGGTATTAACCTTCGGGCCCCCCGGCGAACAAATACATTTAAAATGCGGGGGTTTTTTATTGAAATTTGTTCGCCCTTTTCATTTGGTTGGAGGTTTGGCTGTGTTCCATGGTCCTGCCACATTACCTGCTCAGAGCACCAGAGCATGATGCCCGGAGCCTCCGGCAACCCCACCGCTGCACGTGAACAGACCACGGCGTTGATTACTGCAATGCGTGCACGTGGCCTGCAGTGGGTGTGCGCATCTTCTGTCCGCATTATATTTATCCGATTTTCCGCGGGACGCATTTGTGAATTAATATTGTGAAAATAATTGAAGTGCAAATTACAAATGTGGTCCAAATGCAATGGCTCTCTTAACAATTGTCCTTTGTAACCGAGAAGAGACGCTCATGGAGAAACAAAATCTGAGCAGCCAGGCCCGTGCCATAATTTTACTTTTAGCCGAAAGAAGTAATAACCACCCCCGGCCCCCATCCTTGAAATGTGATGTAAATATTCCCTTCAAGCGTCGAGTCTCTTTGGGAGTTTGGTGAATGTCTCCCCTGCTGGGCTGCAAGACTCACATGTAACACATACGAATCGACTGTAAAACAGTTTTACAGGCACAATCTGTTGTGAATATAATCACAGCTGCAGTGCGACGTGGACAATGCAACTTTGAAATGTTTTTTCGAAAATACACCGTAAACGGTCGTAGGTCAGTCGGAAATGTGTGCTGTTGTTTCCCTAGGAAGCGTGGAACTTTGGTCCAACTTTAGATCAACGTTGGTCCAACGTAGCACCAACGTGAGATCAACCGTGGCCCAATGTTGGACCAACGTCGGGCCAACGGTTCCAACCAGAACGTTGACTCAACGTTGGGGCGTTCATCGAGTTGCTATCATGACACAAACAGTAAACACAACATATTTTTTAGGAAAATTCTATTTGTAACCGCAAAACAGTTCAATGAAAACATTTAATGTTTCTCTCTCTCTCTCAAAAACGGCATTGTCCAATAGATGACGAATGTGAGAGAAGTGACTGGCAATGCTGCTGCGGTGGTAGCGATGCACAAGCACAATTAACAACTCAGAGCACGTGAAGAATAAGGGCCATTGGCCAGCACATTGTCGGTTATATATATTTTATTTTAAGGCAGTGCTTTGAGTGTTTTAATTTAATTTGAGAATGTATGAATTAGTTGTTTGGCAAAGGTGGAAACCGGCTTAAAATTCCAACTTGGCCTCGTTTCCCCATCGTTCTATACAGTGCTCACAGCCACTGCAAACGCCGCCACTGATGAACAATCCACACGGCACATCGGGGCTATAAAAGGGCCCTCTGTTATAGTTCCTCTAACACTTGCAATTTACAACCCACATACATTTTATTGGAGGGCTCTCAGCAGCACACGAAGCAAAGACAAAGATCCCCCGTATAGCCTGTAACAGACTGTTGGGGCAAGTGCTGTTAGCGAGCACCTATGAAGGCTTGCACGGCACACAAAGGGGATGGGTGGCCAACACCACGCCCGGCCGCCTTTGTCTCCCCAGTGGCGATGTTTGCACATCGCGCCAGGTACTAATTTGAGGCTGAGTCGACCTAGGAGAGGCCCATGATCGGTTCAGATAATCGTCACCGCTGTTGGTGACCGTGAGCGAGAATTGAACTCGGGTCGCCGGGTTCGTAGCGCAGCGTAGCGCTAACCACTACGCCACCGCTCCCACACACACACACTCATGACTGCACTGCAGCAAATATACAGCGCTGCTGTGCATGAGGTGTGACACTGCAGCAGCAGCAGCAGCAGCCGCGTGTGTGCAGTACCACGAGCCCATCACCAGCTGCGGAGAGAATTAGCCAAGCAGAATCAGAACATTTATTTAGACTGGAGGAAGAATCCGATGAGCTATGAAGCTCTTTTTTCACAGATGTCCAGTAGGGGCGGATAAGAACGTTACAACTACAAACAATATCAAACACGATAGTCGTGCAAAGTACAAGCAAGCTAAGCAAATCACCCAAACACATAGAAATACAACTAAACCATCACCATCCTCGCAGGCAAAGCCCACTGAGGTGTGAACTTCAGTGGGCTTTGCCTGGTCAAAAAATGATAGCTCAACAAAGTGGCCTACCATTTGGAAAAAAATGCACCAAAATTATCGAAACAATCTTCAGCAGGCTCGCACCAACCTTAACCTTGTCGCGCCTATCTGGAGCAGTGTTTTAAGTTTTCGAGTAAATTATTTTTTCGGGATGCAGCTCATACACTTCTGCACATTTTGCAAACGTATTTTTCACCACCGCTGTGAAAATCAAAATGCGCTTAGATCCCTAGATTAGATAAATATACATTCAACCTTGTAAATCCACTGGTACTGTATATTTGTGTGTGTGTCTGTTTCACACTTTCCTCGCAAAGCAAAGCACCTTGAGGAACACCGCTTGGGACAAGTTGCAGAGTACAAGTGAAATGAGAGTGGCCCCTATCTCCACCGACGGCCCTCAGCCATTCGAGGCAATCCCAAGGCATCACTGCATGTGAGTGATGCTAACGCTCAGCCTGAAGGAGCTGCAATTCAAGGTGAAGGAGGCCTGTGCTTCCATGCACACATTCTTTTCCTCGAAAGGCTTGATATCTGACCCAGACAAGATCAGTGGAGATGCCGCATAACCCACTGATGTGAAATCAGTGCAGTGACTAATTGGGTTTGCGAACTACCTATCCATGTTCACGCCACGCCTCTCAGAGGCGCGTGAGCCCCCCTGAGGAAGCTTCTTGGACAGGGACGCACCCTGGCACCGGCTTCCGAAGCGTGACAAAAGCAGTGCAGAGAGGGAATTAAGCACCCGGTCACAGCTGCGTTAGTGTTGCAAGTTTGACGACGTTACAAAGCCGGGCACCATTACTGAGCGACCCAGGTAAACGGTGCCTCGGATGCTGCCGAATGCGAGGAGGTCACCCTGCCGCTTTAGCATCCAGGGCGAAGGACCCCAGCCCGAGCAGCACTCAAGCACAGATCCACCGCTACCCGTCACGTCTTCTCTTCCCGAACCATTCTTAACCGCGGTGGGGGAGTCTTGTGTCTGTCCTGTTGCACACTGGTCTGCTATTTTGTTCGTACCGCGCTGTAGAAGAGGGGAATGCGCCTCCAAGGAGACGGAACGGAGGCAGGAGTGCCTCCCCCCCCCCCCCGTTAATCCGTGGTTCTTGTGCCTGTGAGAGCGGTAGCGACCAGCAGAGGGCAGGGGTCACACACGCGCCACCACCACCACCACCCCACGCGGCACGCCCATGGCCGCCTTTCCATGGGATATTTTACTCGCCGCTCATGAAAGCCACCGCCGCTTGACTACTTCGCCTTTGGTGCTTGTTCCCCCTCTCGTCTGCTTTGTCAAAAAGAACCGCTACATTCAAGAGTGTATCTCTCCCTCCCTCTGCTTATAAACGTTGTTCTTTTATCACGTTTTTCGTTGTTGCGTTAGACCTTCACATATAGCTTACATTGCTGTGCTTTGGTTTACTCCGAAGGCCTCCCAATGAGGTCTAAAACATATATAAAATATGTTGACTTTTAGATGTGATTAAACAAAATAATTAAACAAATTCATGCTCGGTGATTGGTAGGAATGTGCAGTCTCCACAATGCCTCGCTTTCTTGCGCTCGCTTCATTTTCATTCTGGGCACAGGGCAATTTCCCACCCCCCCCCAAGTGTCAATAAGCACTTACTCGCCTCGCGCTGCACACTGATGCTGCATGCCGCGACGTTTCATCCATTAGAGATGCTAATGGATGCGGAGGCTTTGAAACCTAATTGTTCACCTCGATTCGTTTCCCTGCCGCCTCTATGCCCTCTCTCTATTCCTCGTCGTGCTTTTTTGAGCAAAGCCAAATGGAAAACCAAAAAAATTATTTGGCAACCTTTGCAACATTTCCATTTAGGCCATTAAATATAACAAGAAAACAAACATTCAGTTATCAAGCTCCGCTATATCCGCGTTTTGGCCCCCGAAAGCATTAAGGATATTAGATTTAAAAATATATACATTTTGATTAGATTTCACTCCACTTTGCCCGATTGGGTGTCTGCCTCTCTGTCCTGTGTCTAGGGGCCTCCCATTGTTACAGTCTCCGTCTGGATGTCGTACGCGCATTGAGCGAACCGTGGCTGGCATCGACGCAACTTCTGCCCGCACTGATTCACCAACCACGGATGAACCGATAGAAGTCAAAATGGTAACGCAAAAAAATTCGGCTGAAAGCGAAAGACCCAACAATCCCCTTTTTTGATGTTAGCCAAAACAATCAAAAAGCACGTGTGCTCGTTTATTCGCAGTTTTTCACGAAGCCAATGAGATTTCTCGGTAAAACGTAAACGACACACGACCGCGCAGCGTCTCGATGTTTCAAGTGGCGAATGCCCACGTCGCGGTGAGGAAATGTGCTCCAAATTTGGCGTAAAGAATGTAAAAGGCATATGTCGTGTTTTATTATTACTGTCGTTTGTTGCTGGGAAGAACTTTTCATGAGTTGTCCCGACTTCTTGTCGAGGGATCTGTATTGTAGATAAACCCAAAGTGGATAAATTGCGTCCTAAAGGATTGTTGACCCAAAGAATCGACAAGGCTGATTGGTCCTTGAAAAAAAAATAGTTTACTCCTAGAATATGGGGCTTTAAACCAGTGCGTTACATTATGCCTGTACCTAACCTTCCAATACCATGTGGTTTATAAATATAGTCAACCTATATCTGTTTCATGTTCCTGTAGCTTAGTTTTGTCATTTGGGCTGTGGTATATCTGGAGGTAATCTGCACTGCGGTGAATGGAATAGATATCGTAGATTTAACATCGAGATCTGTTTAAAAAATTGTTCAATTCCTCGTGTGATACTTTAACTTTTTAATTTTAGTTTTTGTTCTAATTTTGCTTCACCTCATTGATCTACTTTGTTTTTTGTTGTTGTCATTTTTGTGCTGTTGATGACCCCAGGTCACTCGTGCAAATGAAACCCCAGCGCTGGTCTCTCGAATTCTCACCTCCCCGGTGAAACAAAGCAAAGTCGAGCTTGGCCGACGAAATCCGGAGCCGTGTTGCCAATAAGGAACGTCCCGAGACTGACTGAAGACACTTCGATTGCGTCTTGTCACGGAAGGGCTGACCGAGCGTAAGTTGAACGGAGAGACGTGGTCTTCCTCTGCATTGGGCTCACACTTAACCGTCGCAACGGGCGAATCTACAGTATAACCAACGCGGGGAATGACCAATGTTTTCATCTGTATTTGATTTTAGCGGTCCAAGCCGAGCGGAAAAACAAAGAGACCTCTCGGGCAGAGGCCAAGCAGGTCTCCAGGGTTGAGAGACCGAGCTTGGGAAGAGCACAAAGTTCACGCCGGAGAGCAAACGCGTAGAGAGCGAGGGAGAGGCACTCACGCGGACAGAAGTCTCGTCTCTGATGGCAGTCTCTGGTTAAGCATGCGGCTGTGTAAAAACTGGTGAGGTGGTGGTACAACTGGAAAACATATCCTCTGATTGTGAATGGGAAGTGATGAGGTGGCGAGGCAACAAAGAAATCCCCTTCACAGAGTGCCGGATTATCCTAGGAGCAAAAGTAGCTACACGTGTAGCTACTTTTGTAGTAGCTACACGTGTAGTAGCTACACGTATAGTAGCTACACGTGTAGTAGCTACGGGCCCCGCACTTTCAAGGGCCCCGCGATAAATGCTTTCAAGCTATCAATTCCGGTTCAGTGATTCTGCACTTGCTCTATTACTATAGTGCTATACCACCTCCAATTACTATAGTGCTATACCGCCTTCAACTTTTATGAACGACTGGGTGTTTAAGATTAGCGATTTGTCGTATTATCTGGCTTATAGCAAATTAAAAAATACAATTCCTTTACAATGCAAGTTAAAACTTTGTGTTTTAATATTTAGGTTTTTTTATATTTAGGGCCCCTTTATAACATATGCTACAGGCCCCGTACTAGCTTCATCCGGCACTGCCTTCACATCTCCGCGGCAGGACTATTGTGGCCCCTTTGACATTTTCTGTTTACGAATATATATATTTTTTACTCTTTTTGGTTATTTTACAAGTATTGGTGGCATGTTGGTGAATTTGTTTTGGGTCCCTGGATATTGTTGGGGGCTGGGTGGTTAAACTCCCTCTAAGTCTGAAAAAAAATTGCGCGTGAGATTTCTCTGATCACGCCCAAACACTTTTCAAACGTTCAATCCGTTTGTGACAGTCACTTTGATTAAAACCCAAGTTCTAAAATGTGGCAAATTTTGTCTCAGTCGAATAATTGATGACTGCACGCAAACAAAGTATAGTTTGATTTTGCATTTAATTTCGTATAGTCTAACTCCTAGGCATCCTTTGGCAGATGCGAGTCTCTTATGTGCGCAGCTGAAATTATTTGCAAAGATATGGACTTCATACGACAGGGCGCTGGAGGATGATGGCTCACTGACTGCAACATCCTTACTTTGCCGTGCAAGAAGAAGGTTTTGGTTTTATTGTATAAAGCTATCCAACATTTGTTACGCTTTGCGCCCTGCATAGATACAATTGGCATGACTGTTATATTAAAAAAGAAAGTCAAATGTATTGATCAAATTTGGATTATCCCAAGTTGTTTAGGAGCAGGACACGACCGATTTAGTTAATTCCTACGTTGCTGGCTTTTAAAAGTCCCAGCGGCTCTTGTCAGCTGCTCCTCAGGGGCGATGGTGGCAAGTAAATCTCTCAACAACAACAACAAAACAACAACAACAAAAGCCATTTACAATCCCCGTGCTCTGACAGCAGCCGTGGCATGAAGCAGGCAACTGGGCGGGCCCGGGTGAAGTCTAAACGGAAACGCGTTTTCTGCATAGAATGCATAAATCGGGTTTGATACCATTCACTATGCTTTTACTTGATGAACGCAGCAGGGTTGGTACAAGCAACGATGCCAAATAAGAAGTGAAGCTAACAAGCACAGTCCTGAGGCCAAGAAAGTTCCTTCTTCGGAATTTCCCAGGGGGCACGCTCGATATTGTGTTTGGGGTCTCTGCCCATACACAAAAGCCTTATTATGCACGATATATAAAAATAACTTTTGTTGGAGAATACATGGAGCAGGGATTCTCCAATATTGAAAGAAGTTGATTTGTCTTCATAACCTCTGTCAACCCTTTGTCCCAGTTATGGCGTACCGACACAGCTGTACTAACGCACTTGACAAATGCATATCCACACACAAAAGTCAACCTGTTAAATAACTATGCTCTTGGGACAAAATAGATCATCATCGGCCTTGATCAGTCCACTGCTGGATGAAAGCCTCTCCAAGCCCTTCGCCAAACAATTGTGTTACTTAAAACAAGACAATCAGTTACGAAGCAATTTATGTTATCTAATTGCCATGCACATTTTTATTCCAAATCAACCTCGCAATAACTAAACCTTGCAAATAAGTTATAATGCAATAGAGTCCTCATAATTTTCTTGTTAATGCTCAATAAAATCACGATCGGCTAAGGTCCTGTTTAAAAAAACTTGCATTAAGAATGAACAATGCGATTTTAACAATACTGCATTATTAGCCAAATTTCAGAGATAGCAGGATGGCTTAGAGGGAAAATTCTTTGCCCTCTCAGAGTCCCGAGTCAGCTGATGGAGAGTCTTCTCTGGCGTGGTGGCCTCCCAAGTGAGTTTAAATCGGGTTCTCGTTTCATCTTGGGTTGGAGATTAATCTTGGGAAAGGGGAGTAAAATAGATTTGATGATTTTTAGCCCAATCAATACTGAGCTAACAAGTAAGTTTATTTCAACTCAATTTTAATGAGCCTTTAAGGCTTACAATATTGTGATGGTGGAGCAAATCAATGACACACGCTGCCGAATGCACATACTGTAGCTGTTAAAGTGCCATTTATAGTTCCAGAGGAGTTCTAGTTGATGTCTCTTTTGCCAGGGTGCCATGTCACGCTGGGACATTAAATATTGTTTCGAAGGTCAACCTGTCTCTCGTCTGCTTACGTGAGCCATGGTGCAGTGAGCAGGCCTGAGCCAGTGGTGGCAAGTCCACATCCCCATGGAAGAGATCAGTTACACAACAGAAACTCACTTTTGACTTCCCACAGCGAACTGACCAACACGGTGAAAGTATGGTCAAATAACCCCCTAGACCCGCCTGGTTATGGGTAGGCCCTCATCCAGCAGTGGATTGACAACGCTGTTTTAACAACACTACGAACTACGGTTTCCAGTATGCCTCGGCACTGGTACAAAATGATGTCAAACGTTTAATGAAGCACCGCCAGCAACAGCTGGCAGATCACTAACAGCATAATGTATGGCTCATGCTGTTCGGATCAGATTTCTCACACATTCTGAACAGGCCACTTCAGACCACAAGAGCTTTGTTGATTGCATGGCAATATCACGTTTCCCATCGCAGTGGGCTGTTGTGGTTGCAGCCCACTTGTCTGGTCTCACGACATCCTCTGCATCTTTTCTGTTCTCGCTATACAGCAGGAAAGCGCACTTCCAGACACGAACGAATGCTGTCGAGCGCGCATCGCAACGTTCCGAGACTTCAAGAGAACGGCGGAGCCGTTCGCCTGCAGCGCACTACCGCTTGCGTGACCCCCCTTTGGGCAAACGTCCCATCGCCGCCGACAGACCTGAACGTCCCCAGATGCTGACAGACGGTTGTTATCTTCTGGCACAGCTTACGGACATTTTGCTATCTCCCCAACACACCGCCTGGCCTCTCCCTCCCTCCTCCCCCCCTCCCCCCACTCTGTCGTGGGTTGAACGGCACAACTGTTGTGCTCAATGCCACGAACAAAAAAAACCCGAAATGGATAAGACGCACATCAATAATTGAAGGGAAGGCGGCGCGCGGCTGAACGCAATGCCGATGCGTGCCCTGGCTGGAGGAAGTCGTCGCGAGGCTGCTCTGCCTCCTGCACTACTTCCCCATGCACAAGGTCACAAACAATCTAAATGTGCCAGGAAAACCCGATCATGTGGCTTGAATGCTGTGCTCTGGATTTATTCTGCATTTTGTGTACACCTACATAGCAATTGTGAAATTGACATCAAGCCATACAGCAAATCGTAGTCCATTTCATAACCCGCTACAACAGATGCCACATTCCAAAAATGATATGTTCTTTAGCTGTAAAGGTGACTGGTTCCCTCTATGCTAATCTTCTGGCTGGTGTCAGCAGGCACAGCTGTGCCAGCTGACCAAACCAACCCCAACACCGATCACTCACCCCGATCACTACCCCAACCCCGATCACTCACCCCGATCACTACCCCAACCCTTATCACTCACCCCAATCACGACCCCAACCCCGATCACTCACCCCGATCACTACCCCAACTACCATCACTATCCCTATCACTTCCCCTCCTTAGCCACTCCCGCCTGCTGTACTGTCACCATCACGACGCCACAACTTGAAATAACCCCAATCTTTATTTTAACCACTATCACCGTATATACAATTATATATGTTGTTAGCAAGTCGCCTTGAAATAAGGCGCGATGTAATTATTCGAAAGATAAGTAGAAATCATGCACACACAACAATTAGTATCGGCTGAACTACTTGAAAAACATTGTCCCTTGGCCCAAAGGTTACGTGTGAGGCAGCCTTCGTGTCCACCAACATAATACCTGTGCTTCGGCTTTAATAAAACCAAGTATATTAACATAATTAATTTTATTTGTTCAACCACAAGAGCCTCATTTAATCGCAACTCTTTTTCACGAGGGTCCTTCATTTGGAATTGTTTGGCCAGTTAATTTTTCAAAAAGTGTTTTGCACCTGGAAGGGAAGGGAAGTACCTGGAGAAAGTGCACGCATACAGAGCAGACGTTGCCCAAAGGTCAATAAAGACAGATTCGATAAATCTAATGCTCCATCTCATGGCCCACCTCACAGCTAAGCGTGTTTCATCATCACCATTAGCCACGATCAATCCGCTGCTGACGGCTCCCCCTTGTTGCCACCACCACCTCTCATGATCATGGATCAATTGTTGCATCAACAATCCATCTGGTATCTGCGAATGAACTTGTCTCATCGCTCTTATCTCCACGGAGGACATCCAGGCGTCTCATAAATCGAGACAAACCTCCAGTCCTTGACTCCAAAATGGTCAATTACCTCCTTGTGCTGAATTAACACCTCCAATTAGCGCGGTTGACTACGTACATTGCAAAAGAAGTCCAACATACGTTACCAGCTTGTGCCACGACGCCCGCCTCTCACCAAGCACGTATGTGCAGGTTCACTCTAAACTCTTCCAAGGATAAGGCTGGAGCATTCGTCATTGTGGGAAGTCATTTTATTATTCATTACATGTGACAACATTTTAAATTACGCATTGTATACCTTCGTTTACAGAATATATCAAGTGTTTCGTATCCACATTACATTACAAGAGACACTTTGAGTAATTCACGTTTTCATCATTTTTAGCCAATATAAATCTCTATCAGCTGAGAAAAGAGCAATGTGCAGGACCAAGGCAAAACACGAATACATGCTCTGATTACACACATTTAGACCTCATGGCATCTGAATATTCCCACGATGTCACGTTGCCCTACGTGTCAATCAGCTTAGCGTGTAGCGTTTGCCGCTTTGGTAATTCCTTGTATAAATTACTAGGCCACTGTGCTAAATGAACTGTCAATGCTGTGCAAACTGGCTGAGTGGCGAGGGCATTGACTGCCGAGCTGCTACCCAGCGGCAGGGAAGTTGTAAGAATCATCGATGTCATCATCTCTTGGCAGGGCGACGATCTGGCGCCGGAGGTGGTGTCTTCGTCAGCTCGGCGATGCGTGCATCCTTGATCTGCACCAGCTGCTCCAGCCGCTGCACCTTCGCCTGCAGCAGCTGCACACGCGCGACACAACCCGGTGAGCACGGGCCAAAAGCATTGATAGGAGCAGCAACACGGGAGAGAAGCAACTTGACTCCTTTCGTTAATCAGCATAATTAATCATCATCCTCCATCCATCATATATATTCATGTATAATATGTGGGTTTACACATCTCTGCTTCTTTGAACAGTGGCTTTCAGAGTCTTGAGTATTAACATTTTAACATAAGACGTCTAAAGGGGCCTTAGTATTATTCACGGAGTTCAGTATTAAACTTTGAATTCACGCTGAACCCTAGGAACTCAAAAGTTGCCTTAGTCTGGCTCTGTGAGCCTCAGAGACTATCATTTAACCCTGGGAATCTTAAAGTTGCCTCTTGACTATTTGCATCAGTTGGTGTGAACGTGTGTGTGTGTAAGCGAAGAGATTGATAATTTCTCCATAACTGTTTATGCAGAGAATATAAAAGTGAACCAATACAAATGAGACTGTGATATCTGCCAGATGTTGTGCGGTGTCACACAGTCTGTGATGTCACATTTGTCCCAAATAGTATTGAAAGGGCACAGTTAATATTATAGATGTTATCATTATTATTGATGTACAATGCAGGTCCCTCTGAAAAACCTCCCCAAACACAGCTGAAAGTTGCATATGCTATAAGTCAGTCTTGCAATTTACAAAATGCGTGAAATATAACACCACAGAAAGTAAACCTTGTAATATTAATTGCTGCAAAACGAGTCCAAATGCAGTAAAACATAAAAAGGGAAGATCGGTCAAACAATTCTGTTGATTTTGACACACTCGTTACTTTTTGCGGGCCAGGGTGTTCTTGACAAAGACGTGTTGAGTGGTTTTCTTATTGACGCTTGTGCCCCACTGCAGCAGCAGCAGCAAATACTAATAATGTGTTTCATCTTGAACGTAAGTCGAGGTAAATCCCTGCAATTGATCATCTCCTCATCCAGCTGCTTCACCCAGCCGATTCCCTCCCTTTGACAATGTCCCCTTGTACTCATTCTCTCTTGGATGCAAAGTTCAGCACAATACATACTTGTACCCGTCTTATCTCCCTCCCATATCTAGACCGTTCCTTCCACGCTCTAAATCTCCCTGCCTCCCACACTCCAACTAGTCATTTCCCCTCGCTGACTACCTCGTCGTCTATTTATCTTTCTCCCCCTCTCATCCTCGTGTTGCTCTTCTCACGGCGCCCCCTTCGTCTTCGCTCTCCCGCCGTCTCGCCCTCTCCCACGCTGTCCACCGTCACCCCGCTCGCCACTCCTCCCTCTGCAGGCGACTGCTGCCGCAGGTCACTGTCACAGCCAGCCCTGCGTGCCTCCTCACGCCGATCCCCGCTGCTGCTGCTGCCTCTTCGCGGGGCTCAGTGGCCAAGCGGTTCTGACAGCAGGAAATCATATGCGGCTGGATTAAGTGCGATAACATAAGGAAGACTTGTTGAGGTGAAACAGACGGTAATACAGAGAGAAGTAGACAAGCCCTCGACAAAGGCGGGCAGGTTTTGATCTCTATGGGCCAGATGGTTCAAAACTTTAGACTCGTGACAAAAAAAAGTTTCAATGAAATGCAACGAATGTTTCCAGTGGGTTTGTGGCAGAAGGCCTCAAGGTCGTGCGTGAGCGTGCACACACACGGGACGGTGTCCCGATGGACACAACGGGAATCCTCTCCCATTCACGCACGCCGAAGGCCTGAAGCGTTGGCGAAAGCTATTTTACTCACGATCATTGAACGAGCAATGCGTTTTACGTTAACGTAGACAGATATAAAAACACGAAAGCAAGCTCGTAAAAAGTAATCATCACTGTCAGCCACGATATATCCACTGCTGGATGAAGGATCTTCCCAAGCAGTTCCCATGCCTAGACAGAGTGAATGGCCCAGTCAGAAGAGCCTGCATACATCCCTGCTCTCAGAACAAAGTCCTCGCGAGACTCTCATCGCAGTTGCCAGCCTCGGCCAGTCGAGGAAATTCCACAATCCCATCGTAGGGGGATACTCTCCATCGAGGTCAATCACTGCTGGCCTCAAACGATCAACGCCTTCGTATTATCGACCCTGTCGGGATGATAAGCTGTGTGAACCCTCAACAGGAATTTGAACTTGCATTGTCTTCAAAAATTAAATTGTTTATTCGAACATGATGATTCTGAACCGTCTCACAACATCCTCCACGATGTACATTACAACATTAAAAACGAAACCATCTCCTGCCCCCGCACGCTTGCATCCTGCCCTTGAAAACGTACGATCATTTATTTGCATTTGGCTCGTATAATATTAATGGTACATTTATGAGCGAGTCTTGTGGTGCGTTTACGAGACAATGAGTGGGTCTTATTTAAATGATTGGATTGAAGCATGTGCTCGGGCACATGCATCTCGGTCGTGTGAATGGAATCACTGGCTAAATCGAATGAGGCATAATTAATTATGCATCATTAAGATTTAAGGGATATGTTAATACAATGACACAGTTTCCACGTGAAGAAAAAGCATTTCCAGAACATGATAACCTAAAAAACATGTTCGGCCAATGTTTAAATCAGGAAATAAACAAGGCAATAAAAATAATAACTGAGAATAATTACCGAATTAGCATGGCTCTGTACTTTGGGAAGCCATGAATCAGGCCTGGCCAGCAGTTTTACTCTGTGCTTGACAAATCCATTTGTCAAGGGGACAAATCACTTAAGTATGGTCACTGAAAATAAATCAATTAAATCACTGTACCACTTTTAGTTACCAGAATTGAAACATACATCATCTAACCGTGATGAATATTTTTTGGCCTTTAGTCGTGCATTTTTTATTCGGTCAAAAAAAAAGTTTGAAAGGCGGTGAAGCAAGTTGCTTTTATGAATCCAAACACAGTCACAGCCGGGGTGAGAGGCGAGCGTGATGTTAGGCTATCCAGGCACCATATGGAAATGCGTAACTGTGTGTCAGCAACACATTGGATTCCAAGCTTTGCTTGTGGTCTTAACTGTGCACGGGGGGGAAACCAAAGTACGCTCTAACTCAATCACAATGTAGATGTTGGTAACCTAAGGTAACCAACCATTTAAACATTAATCAGGTTGGCGGGCCATGATGATACTGTTTGGCTTTGCCTTAAAGGCTCTATGAGGTTGTCGGTGAAACATGAAACGATAACGGAGCCCAGAGCTTTAATTACCTGCTCTCTGTCTCCCCGACATCCAGCTGAAGTATACAAGGTCAGGTGCAGTTTATGCAATTAGTGCAGGTCACACGCAACAGTGTTAATCAATCACCCAATACTACGGGCCTGACTAAAGCATGCTGTGCTGCAACGCCCTGCTAGAATGAATTCCTTCAGTGAAACATGTTTTTAATGCGGCAGTTCAAAGGACAGCATTCTTAAAATGAATTTGATTGTTTCCAATCAGCGTGGCATTGTGGTTAAAGCAATTGACCCGCAATTATTAAGGCTGAGAGTTCAGATCTCTGTTTGGGGGTCCAATTTGTTGGAACTCAACGGTGTTCATCTTTTGATTTAAAGCTTTCGTGACTGCAGTGATTCATATTCTTGGTTCTGTTGGTAAAGTCACGTTGAAGAGAAACGTGACTTTACTGAAAGAACCAAGAATACGGTGTTCATCTTGTGGTAAGACTGGTCCCTGTCAAGAGAATGTGTAATTTCCATCATCGCCTGGGGTTGCCTATGGAGATGAGTGCTACCCCACTGATTCGAGCAGGAAGACCCTTTGACTTCGACAGAGTACACACGTACGGACATCGTTTGTCATCACCAGACTGCCATAATCATCGAACGTCAAGCTAATTCTAAAGTGTAACGGAGGCCTGGCGCAAAGTGGCAAAGTCAGATCCTGAGCTGTGTGTTGGCGGCACGCGTCTGTCATCCAGCAAGATGAGTGCAGGGTTGGTGGAGTCATTGTGTGTGAGGCACCTATCTACAGGGCAAAGCAAAGCCTGTAGGAAGCAGTACCCTAAGTAGGTAGGAAACCTGTGCCAGATCTTGTGTTATCTCCTCATACGTGCAGCTTTTCTCTGGACATTTACATGTCTCCTGCAAGCAAAGACACCTCTAATAAATCGGCCAATCATTTCAAGCAAGACCCTGCCTGAAAATCGTCGAGGCTTCTCTGGGTACATAAAGAATGACTCTTGTATTATTATAACATTGGCCGTATATTCCCGGGGCTTTGTGAACAAAAATCGCTGAAAAGTCCTCCGCAAAGCGGCGTGCGGCTGGCACGTCTAGATGCGCGATCGCTTGTGGCATGTCAAAGAGGCTTTTACGTTGGCATGCAGGGCGCAGGGATGAGCACACGGTGGGGTGAAGGGCAAAGGCACGTGCTGCGGTGTAGCTGTAACCTTCTCACCCGAGGGTTCCTCCGTCGATCCCATCCCTCAGGAATATGAAATGTGTCTTCAGGTTAAATTACCAATGCATCTTGCACCTTAGTTGGAGACACCAACCCGGCTCTCTTTTCTGGTTCTTTGTGGACGTGTAAGATCCCACGCAATGGCAAATCGCATTCCAGCGGCTTTAATTGGGGTTCTCGGCTTTTTCCCTCTACATTCAAAATCAACGTGCGTTTAGATAATTTGGCTGCTATAAATTACCACATGATGATAAGCCACGTCGTTAAACTATAATTTGTGGCCAGCTCGCTTCTCAAAAAGAGCTATGAAGCTCAGTGGGCCTTACCTGGTGAAAAAAATTAAATAAAACGTGAACAAAAATTGCCCACACGTGGCTGAGAGTGCCTGCTTGTATAGAAGTTATATCCAGTACAATTCAACCCACCGGAGGAACAAACATCTCAAAATTTTCTTTGCAAGTCACAACTCCTCCCTGCTCAAATGAGCGTGGTGCGGCCCTGAGCCGGTCGTGCAAATTCCACATTCTTACAGCGGGCGCCGGCCTCTGCAGAGGAAAACCACTGATAATGATTTGATTAGATCTACAGGAAAGTTGGGTTTATTCATACTGTTGGATTCACAGCACAAAGTACATGCCCATCAAGGTGCCCTCACAGACAGCAATCTTGTCACGTCCCGAGGAATGACCGTGGAAGAGGCATGGAAGAGTTGCGTCTGTTATCTCTTCAACAGGCCTCCCTTATACAACTGTTTATCTGCACATCTAAATTGCTCTGCTGATAGATTTATTCCTTTATCTCTCCACTGTTTTTTTGTTGTCACATGAAAATTGTACTTTTGTTTTTGTTCATTGTTACCGGCTGGTCTGAGACTGCTGATGTCGTCTAATATGATACGCAGCACGAAATAATAATTTGCGTCATTGTGGAGAATATAAGTAACACAATGAATAAGCAGACAATAAGCTTCCTTCCCATGTCTTTTGTCTCTGCAGATGAAGAATACAATTATTTAGTTTACACAATCGATTGGCCACACGGCCTTCATGGAGCGAATTTTCAGCAGCAGTGGTTTGAAACAAGCAACCCCTGGCCCAGTTTTGACCTTCAAGTGTTTCATCAGCACAGTCAGCTTTGCTTAAACCGACGCTGGTGAACTGCCAGATGTTTCGAGGCAAGGATCCTCTGTGTTAGATGTGGGTCCTAGTTTGACGCAAAACTGTAAAATACGTGACAATATAATCATTAGCTTCGTCGTGGAAAATATAATTAACACAATAAGAAGCAGACAGTATAATGCCTCCTTACTGTATCTCTCCCTCCACATAAATACATTCGTATTTTTTTTTTTATAAAACATTTTAATAAAGGGTTTTATTGCACCGGGAATTGAAGTTTAAGTTGTGCCTCATGAGAGTGCCGACACAGGGATTAGCCCAAAGGCACCTCGCTACCCCTATTGGGAAATTCTTTCAATAAATATTTAAAATGTTAATATATCAGCAGCATGTAATCACCGTTAAGAAGACGTGTTTACAGTAACAGTTTTACATCCATTGATCAATCATGACGATAGGTTTTTTGGAGTCTGTCCCTGTTCACTAGCAGGCAGGGATTTTAACTTGGTGAAAATGAAGGTTTTTATAACAAGAATAAAGCCCTGGAGGGAATTATAACTTTTGGGGGGAAAAAAATCAAATTTTCTCAGCAGGAAATCGTTAATGTTCCCAAAGTTAATCCCTGCTTTTAGATTTTCTTCAGATAAAAGAGAGGTAAAATATATATATATCTGAACAATAAATAAATGCTGTGTGTTGTAAATACTCTATGTTGATTGTTGTGAGAGTTGGCTGAGCTGCTTGAACAATTTTCAACTCTAAGAGGTTCAAATTTCAGTCGAGGTCAACTCAGCTCCTCATTCCGCACAAGAAAATATTTTCAGCATCACCTTTTCGGGGCTCAGTGTGGGAAAACTCACAGGAACTGCCAAAGACAGAGAGCACTGTGGCATAGGGTAGTCCATATCGTGGCCATCCCTCGAGGAAGGCTAGAAACAAATTAACAAATGTTTATATATGTAAAAAGGAATAATGTCCATAAATAAAGAGGGGAAATAAAAATTCCACATTTAAACTGGCCGAAAGAACCAAAGAAGATTAAACTGGCTGGCCTGACGAACAGCACATACAATTGAAATCAGGAAAAATGTCCTAATTAAACAGGATATAAGAACAGCCCGGGATGGTTAACGGAAAGAAAATGGATTGGTGGTGATGGAGCGTCTGGGTGTCCATGTGTCTGCATTTGACTGTGTTTGACAGGTTGGCACAGTGGGGGGAGTACAGGTGGGGGTTGTGCGCCTGCCAGCAACCCACGTCTATTAACCCAAAAATACTTGGGCCAGTCCCTTGACCTCCTGCCAGGGAGTTTAGCCAAACTACTTTACTTATATCATCATCAGACCTCCTTTGCCAGTACCAATATGTAATAATAGGGTTTTTCCCCTTTTTTTCTGGCAACAAAACTGAATCCTTTTTACAAGGATTAATGTCTGCATTAACCACAATACCTGCAGTCGAAATGCAAACAAAAAAAACATACTATGATAATATATGCATTGTCCTCGAAACTGATTGGTCCACACCAAGGGACGGCTTTCTTTTGAGCCTCGACCCAATTGGTGCTCGATCAGATGACGCCAAAAGGCGTCACACAGCTCAAAGACAATGCACTATCAAAGTAATGAGGGCTCGGGGTGAGCATCTACATCATTAGACCTCCTTTGCCAGTACCAAAATGTAAAAATAGGGTTTTTCCCCTTTTCAGTTTCAAGGACAATGCATATATTATTATTGTATGTTTTTTGTTTGCATTTTGACTGCATGTATTGTGGTTAATGCAGACATGAATCCTTGTAAAAAGGTTTCAGTTTTGTTGCCAGAAAAAAGAGGAAAACCCTATTATTACTTTACTTATGTCACCGACCTCTATTGGGGAATGATAACTGTAGTTGCTTTGGCTGTGTATGTGCATGTGCATGCATGGGGGTCAGTGCGTGTCTGTGTCAGTGTGAGCACAGGTGTGTAGACAAAGACAAATATCCCCCATATAGCCTCTTCAATCTGTTGGGGAAAGTCTCATCGAGAGTGGTAGTGTAGTGGTTGGCATGCCGCGCTGCAAACACATCGACGTGAATTCAATTCCTGCTCAGATGTTCGCCAACATCAATGGTGAACATCTGAACTATTTCTGGGCTTCCCATGAAGTCTACGCAGCCTTAAATGAGTACCTGGTGCAGTATGTAAACATCAGCACTTGGAAGACCAAGGCAGCCGGGCGTGGTGCTGGCCACACTACACTCTCGTGTGCCGTGTTGGCCTATATAGGTGCTCGCTACAAGCATTAGCCTCCAGCAGGCTGTTAAAGGCTATTGTGCGGATCTTTGTCTTTACACAGATGTGTGTGTGTGCGTGCACTGGGCGGTACCAGCACGGTCTCCTGGGCTGCCCTCAGGGCCTGGTCTCGTTCTTGTAGCAGAAGTCTCGCTTCGGGGTCGAGCCGTGCTTGAAGGGTGTCAGGCCCTGCCCCAGGTGACCTTTACCGGGGACGGTGAGGGACAGACATCATGGGAGGGAGTGCATGTTATCACCGTAAATAATAATATGCATATTGGAGTTTCAAGATTCATTCGTAGGATTTCGTATCATCATCATCTGTCTTGATATGTCTACAGTTGGATGAGAACTTCCACAAGCTGTCGCCATCCCTCATGGTCTCGAGAGAGAATACTTTATCTCGCTCCATCTCCGCGGTGGCCATGCTCTCAGGCATCTAGTGTCCTTTGGCTGCCACACTCACGCCACAAGAGAAAGAGATTGCAGATGTACGCCACCACACTCAGCAGCGTCTTAGGGCGATACCTGTGAGCTGACCTGAGATCCTACATTTGAATCCGAATAAGCCACTCAATGTTAAGCTATGTCACGAAAAATAAATCCAGCTACTCTTAATTTGCCGGCGGATGAAGACCTCCCCATGTCACATTGGTCATGGTTATTTTGTTCACCATATTTCACCGTGATAGTTCGTACAGATTACTGAAGGAGGTGGGGGGGGCGGACCGGTTCTGATATCACTTGCCCCTGGTGTCCCCAGTAATCAAATGCAGGTAGCAGGGTTTATAGCACACTGTATAACCACTCAAAGTCACGCTATTTTCGACGGCATAAAGCCAGTCACATATGACTGCACAAAGTTCCGTGTGACTTTGCACTAACTTTGGTTAAACATAGCTCTGGGAGGTTATTTTGTAGCTCGACACACACAGCGAGCCACTTAATCATGCGTGCAGCTTTAAAAAAAAAACCTTGCAATGTATCTGCTCCATAAAACAGACCTTTTGAAGGCTGTTGAATAACAGCCTGCGATGCATATCCCGATAATGTATTCACACAATGTAGTGTGGCCACCAGTCCATCGCCCCGTGTTCATTTGAGCACGTTTGCTTGTGACGGCCACTGGGGGCCCGGTTGCGCAGCCCAGCGACGACTCCCGTGTGTGACCCAGGGTCTGCACGGTGGCACAGGTCGTCAGCCCGCACAGTTTACGAGCCGCACTGCCCCGTGGGCACGGCCCCTCCCGCGGGGTCCCTCCAACCCCCATCCTCCTCTCTACCCTTCATGGCTGGAGGGTAGCAATTGAAGGAAAAAAAAATATCCCTAATTTAAATAACGGTTCTCATATGCTTGGGAAAGGTGAAGTTATTATTAGTAACGTTATACTACTTTTGTAATTTTCCATCACGTTTTTTTTTCTTTTTTAACCAAAACCATGGCCCTAAGGTTGACCGATGCGAGGCATTTCCCTGACGGCGGTGTCTCTCTGCCGCGTTGACCACGTGACATCGCCGGCGTGCACGAGGTCCGCCGCCTGGTGTAAACGTGTAAAGCTGCCTCAGGAAAGCCGAGCCACGTGGCCCACTTTGAAGGGTTGCCGTAGGCTTGGCATGGTAGCGCGACTGGGGAAATGTGGGCCGAGTCCACTTGCCCAGTTCGTGAACTGTGGGGCCACTCTCGCTTCTCAGCGGTCATGGGAACGTGGCATTGAGGCTTCACTTCTAAGTGCTTGACTCTGTTGTACTAGGAGTTTCCGGAATGCAAACACACTTTGTTCTGAGCTTAGATTCCAATGGCAAAATTTAGATTTTTTTTTTATACGTTAAGGGAAAAAATGGAAACGAAAACACAAGGACCCAAAGTGAAAAACACCTGCAATAAAAAAACAAGATCTGGCACGAACTCTGTGGTTAGCATACATTACACGCTGGCGAACACGTGCAGAGGAGTGCAGTTGTTTTTCAAGTGAATGAACGACTGTCTCGTGGTCGTGATGTGTTGATGTGCACAATCCATGGCACGGCATGAAGGCGGCACGGGACGGGTGGCGTTTTTACCGGGGCGTCCCGGTTATTAGTGACACGTGCAGAAGGGAGGACCAACAGCCAGGTGCCGACGTGCAGTGCAGATGGAAGCAGGCGATACTGTGACGCCTCGTGAACGGAATGCGGTCTGCAGCTGGCTCAGCAGTAGTGGGTAAATTGGGTCAGTCAACTGTGCTACCACTGGCAGTAATGCTTTGACAAAATATAATAACAATAATGTATTTGTCGATACATTCTTGTTATTATGATATATTTTTTTTAAGGCAGCCCTATCAAACGATAGCAACATGTTTGCAGATATTGTACTACTGCATTTTTGGCTAATATTTTAATTCAAGATTTAAACTCCCATAGCATCACAAAGTTCTTGTCTTTAAAGTAATATTACAGGTTCTTTAACATTCACTCTTCATCATTCACTTGTCCACCTGAGCGAGCTACAAAGCTTGTTGACCCGTAGGCTGATAACAGGGACAGCACTCATTGATTCTGCACGGGAGGGGGTGGTGGGCATCTGGTGGCTAACTAAGCCCACAATCAGCACTGTGGAGGTGAGGGTTGGTGGATCACACACATTCCTCCCTAGCCGTGAGCGCCGAGGTCGGCATACCTTGGCTTGGCAGTGTATGATAGCAGTACAGCAAGTGGATAGATGTCCATCTCTATTCTAAACTATACTAAACTATTTGGATTTTACCAGGTAAGGCCCACTGAGCTATATAGCTTTTTTCGGAAGAGACCTGGCCACGAATGATAGCTCAACGAAGTGGCTTTTCACGTGGAAATGTATCGCAGCCAAATACTCCACACGCGTGTTAGTTATGTGGAGGGAAAAAGCGGAGAACTCGGAGAAGAATCCACACGATCATGGCGCTGGTGCTGGCTGCTTTCCTGCTTGTCTGCTTTCCCGTGTCTCAGAATCAATCCCGCTCTCGGAGAGTGAACGGAAACCGTGAGCATTAAAAATTCTAATATAGAAATATTAAATAGATGACGAGGATGATGATGGACTCTCACTGGTGGTTGGCAGGGTTGCTGGTTCCTCCTGCTCCCCTTTGCACGTGTGGGGATCGGGCTGAAAACAAACAAGACAGACGCGCAGCTGTAAACACCTAACAGCAACACTTGGGATGCACGACGGTGGCTGGCTACTTTAACATTCAACACGGTATCCTATTACACGACATTTAGACTCTCAAGAGTGGCGACGTGGCCCAGTGATACCACACTCGCCGCTCGTTGCAGAGGCTCATGACTCAACCCCCCAACGACCCCTCCCCCTGGTTATTACTGCATATGTAGCAACAGTACAAATACGCGCCGTCCGCTTCAGAGTGGACGTTAAAGATCCAGTGACGCCATTCCCAAGAGGAGGTCACTGTGCGCCGACATCATGGTGCAAATTTGCCATATTTTAATTACCCGCAAAATGCCTCAAATGAGATAATACATCGACAGCATCGCCCCGCACTGTGAAACAAACTTAGCAAGACCCTCCTGGAACCGATTCATGAGACGCAGAGATGCTTTGCTGGGTAAACAAGTGGAATACAAATGATGATGATAAAAGAAAGAAGAGCACATTGGACTAGGACGGTCGATATTCACATGTTATTAACAAAGTCCTTATGCTGTGAAGTAGTTTCAGGAATATAAGTAACTGATCATGTGTTCACCAGCAGTCAATAATGTGCCTGATACGCCGCTGCCAATCTAAGTTTTTAATCTAACTAGGGGTGGAAAATAACTTTCATGATAAGTTCAAAAATGTATATTAATTGAATTGGTGGGTCATTTAATTCTTACCCTCTTGTCTGTTACCCAATAGCTCATATTAGGTCACTACAGTATTAATATGCCAATTTAATAACTGGACATCAGCAAACAACACAAGATTGTGATGCTCATCAGGCCTCATGCTGCGAAGTTCACCCTCCAACTCGCATTATCATCCACTTTATCTCTCTGGCCTCTCTATTCTTGTACTATGAAGAAAGGACATTGTCCAAAACTTCACCTATTATATATTTCTATTTTTCTTTTCAGGTATTGTTCTTGTGTTGACAAATGTGTTAAGTTGTTGTTAATTGGGCTTTGTTCACCAAGGCCAACGCAGCAGCGTCACCAATATGTTCAACATACAATGCGACAATGCACTTAGTGCCCTCTAATGCTTAAATTTGTTATTTTCTTTGAAATTAAATTGCATAAATGTAATCATTAGTAAGCCAATCATACATGCTTCATTAAGCTGCCTAAATGGGGAAATCATCGTGAGTAATTGCTTTTTTTTGCAGCAAACAAAGCTTTAAGTGTCGTGAAAAATAAAATTCCACACGTGTGAGAACACTGTCGAGACATTACAAGAGGTTTCATATGTAAATCACAGGGTGATAACTTTAGCTGTTACTTCCTACCGATGGGGTTTTCATCAGCTGGGAAAAGGTGTTGCCTCGTGTTACAAGCCTCTTAGGCTGTGCCAACTCCCCTTCTTTATGGAGGCTTCAACGAAATGTAGGGAGAGAGGGCTGGACGGCTCTTTTTCAGGAGCGACCTGGCCACAAGTGATAGCTCAACGAAGTGGCTTATTACCACATGGAAATTAATATCAGCCAAATGATCTAAACGCATTTTTCTAAATGTGGAGGGAAAAACCGGAGGACCCGGAGAAAAATCCACACGACCACGGGGAGAACATGCAAGCTCCAAATATAAAGGCGTCAGGGTCGGGTTAGAACCCACGACCTCCTGTATACCAGGTGAGGTAGTTAACATCTCGCCACCGTGGCAATTAGTTTGTGGATCACACGGTCACGTGATCCACCAACCCTAACCTCCACAGTGTTCGATTACAGGCGATTTACAGCACCCTACATGTCACCTGCCGATCGATTCACTGTGGTGCACTTATGGGGGTGGACAGAGAAGGAGCGATTTGGGAAACTAGCCCAGTCTTTAAGCTGCAATTCCCGGAGATGAAATAAAACAGGTAACCTCTGGATGACAAGTTACGTGTGCTAGCATTACGCCATGAAAGCGTCCCTTAAAAAAAACTGACTGTACTGCAATTACATTGAGCCGTTTATTGCTGTGAAAAAGGCAAACTCGATCGAATAAAGCTGTATTAAAATACTTAAAGATGCAGTTAAGAGCATGGACACAAATTGTGGATTGATGGATTACGGGGATATAATTTTATTTTATACCTACGTGACTTTACCGAAAGAACTAAAAAGTAGGTAAAGGATGGTCACATGGAATACTAAATCTACAAAGTTAGATACAATGATGCACTAAAGTGACTCTCACAGGCATGTGCATTTGTGAGTGACCTTCAATGCAGGCTACATCAGCATTCTTGCAAGGCCCTCTGACCTGTCGTTAATTGTCGAAGTGTATGTCTCAAACGGAAACGACTGCTGCTCAACCAGACAAGGCTGCATCAATTTACCACCAATCACCAACCCTTGCTGTTTTCCTTCTAAAGACATTTCTCAAATGTGTGTTCAGGTCCTTAGGAAAACATCCCTTGTCTTGGAGATTTATGTGCGATCTAAGCTCTGATCCTAGCTTTGCAGTGGTAGCCCCCAAGCAATGCTTGCTCACCACGCCACTCATTTAGAAGCAGCAGGGATTGCATGCGGGGGAACATTCACATTTGAAGGTCTTATGTGGGGCATCCCGTAACATCGCTGCAGTAAGCAAATGATTTCGTGCGGTGCCGACATGCCGAGGCTTTGTGGCGCCTTTGTGAAGAAACCTCTCTGGCTCTATTCCCGTGCTCCCTAAACGAATGCTTTGTTGTGCGGGACTGACCAAGCAAACTTAATGACATTTCGTGATAACGGTAATTTATCCAGAAAGAGCCTCAATCGGTCTCAGTGACGCCTGTTAAAGCGGTTCCTGCATTATGATGTTTATAAACTGTATGAATTGCAGTGTTTTACACGTGGGACAAAACAGGAGGTATTGGATAAAAAGACACATGCATCGTGCGACAGGCCTAACCAATGCAAGTTCAAGTGTTTTGTTGCTCAAACGATAAATATGGAGGTGCTCAGGTGAGACTGGGCTCTTCAATATTCTGCTTGTGAGTCAAGCTTTGGCCACAGTGCAAGAATATTGGTCACCCTTGAACTGTAATCATATATCAAATTTTGACATGTCTGTTTGATTGGGTACATTTTTCTCCGTGCTCTTTCATGAAATATATGTTTTGCCATTTGGTTATCAGTGCCAGTTGTGGAGGCAAGTTCATTTCCCATTTTTTCATCAATCACCTTGTGCCCAGGAAGATTCATCGCATGGAGACATGACAATTGATCAACATTCGCCACCTTTTTAGATCTCTCTTAAGCCGCAGAAGTGTTTTTTTTCCACTACGATCTGTGTTGTCAAATAAAATGTAAAGACATCAGTCACAGCATAATGAACTCGAGCTGAGTGGCTCATACGAGTATTGCCGTGTCCACCGTACAGCAAAGAACCCGCACGACTAGAATCCCAAGTACATAGGGAACAACTCCTGTTATCAACAGCAATGCAGGGGACCAGTAATAGGGATCCTATTCTCTATGAGATTATCCGTGAATTTACTCCACTTATCCAAGGTATTTTAAAATATTAAATACACACAAGCACACACCCACAGAAACAATGGATATACACACTGACATACACACGCATATAATCTGATATACCCGCTCGCACACACACACACACACTTATTTAGCTTCCCTGGCCCTACTGGGCCCCAAGCCAGATCTGGATGTCTTGCGAGGTCAGTGATGACCTGTGGAAAAAGTCACGGATGGATGACGGCAGATTATTGGAAGAATTGGGCCGCAGATAATCAGAGTTTTTGTGGAGCCTAGAGCTCTCGTAATTGGAGTTGCGGGTAATAGTTTTTTATATTCTGGGTTTTAATCTGCAGTAACCAGACTAAAACCAAGTTTGATGGTCTCAAGTCTTATCACCAATGTCTCAAAACAACTATCATATAACGGTAATGTTATTTTATATATCATTATGGTAAGCCCAAATCTAAGGCCTAACAATATATTGTGATTGTACAAACATGACCAATTCAAAGTAAACTCACTGGCCATACAACATAAAGGAGCACCATCTTTGTGGCTCTAGTGAGAGAGGTCTGGAGGAGACGCTAGAAATTATGTCGTAGTATCTCCTACATTATTTCCCAATATATTGTCTCTTGGGAGTTCCAGTAAGAATGTAATTCACATCATATTGTGGCACCAGCATAGCACAACCGGCTAAGTTGTCTATATGGGTAACCCTCACAGTACTTGGGGACATTTCTACTCCAGTATTTCAGCTAAAGTTTTAATCCATAAGGATGGCGTAGGTGGTTTGACCACATAACCTCAGCATCACTGGATTTTCGTAGTAAAGATGTACTCGACACATTATGCACGAATGAAGGATAAATGAGAAATATAACCAGCAGAATGTGGCTTTAGAAACTGGCACATGGATATTTTTGGACCGTGTATTACAAATGCAGAATAACCGGTACTCATGCATAACGGTACATTATTTAACCAGTACATAATCAAGAAAACAAACTCATGAAGAAAAATTAAATTAATTTAATTTACCATGGTGAATATGAAATGCACACAGAGGTGCCTGGGAATCACGAGTTATTAATGACGTGCCTTGACAGTGGAGCCACAGAAATGTGCTGTGGATGCTGAGCCAAGTCAGAGCTGGCTCCACAAGATTATTTTTCTTTTGCAGATGTGTGCTCTTGCCAGACGAGAGACCTTTGTATTCCAGTTATTTCTGTCCTAAACATTGGCAACAGTTAGACTTAAAATGTGTGCACACAAACATGAGGTATTAAAGTTGCACATGGGTGAGAAGGCTGGATGGTTTTAGAGGCGGAGACCCATGTCCAACACAGTGATCCAGTATAGTATTGTGGAGTGCAGATATACCACTGTAATGCCCAGGGAGCCCATCTCTATTATATATGGATTATCAAATCCTCAGCAAATATTTCTTGGTTTCACAATGCCATCCATTGCACTGCACCTTCACCCGCAAAGT